GTGTGTGTGTGTGTGTGTGTGTGTGTGTGTGTGTGTGTGTGTGTGTGTGTGTGTGTGTGTGTGTGTGTGTGTGTGTGTGGCTGGCAGTTAGCGGACCCAAATTGCAGACTCAGAGATAAATTCAGAACTCACACAGCTTTATTGCTGGAGTTCGGGAAACTAAACACAAACAACAGAAAACTCGTCTAAACTGAACTTTAGGACTTACATGACTAAGTAAACAGGACGCGTACACACAAGGAGGGGATGATAATACACAAGATAATGAGAGGATGGGTGACAGGTGGAAACGCAGCTGGAACAAACTAGACATAATGAGAGAGAGGAAGCAAAGCTGAACATAAGGCACGTGACACAATGACTATCAAAATAAAACAGACAGAGACCAGACAAGGAAGACACAGAACGAGGGCGAGATAGCAGAGAACACAGGAACCAAATAGACACACAACTGGGAAAACAGGCAAATGAACATGGAGGCAAAACAGACTTCCCAGGGAAACACAAATAACTAACACAAGAAACTAGATACTAGAGGACGTGGAACACAGAGGGAAGACTAAGACAGACTAAACATGAAATGGAACTAAATTAAACAAAATTAAGGGACAGAGAACTCAGAAATATAAGGAGAAAAGACATAATATTAAACAACAATTCAAGGCAAGCACAAACTACTGGGTCACAAAGCCGGGACAATGACAGACCACAGTTACGCACAACTGACAAGATGCATCAATCAATGCAATCAATAAGCAAAAGACATAAACTGCACACATTTAAATAAGTCATCTCTGCCAAATCTTCCAAAACAATATATGAAAGTTTCCTTTTTTGTAACAAAAAAACAAAAAAAACCCATACAAATGTGTTTTAGTGATGCACTAATATACTGAGTATTTATCCAGCAGTGTGGATACCTGCATGTGAGTAGTTGATAATTATTATTAATAATTGGGAATTATAATAACTGCAGGCTTTTATTAAAAATACTTAAATTATTAAGCAATTAAACAGTACTTATTTTTAATAAAAAAAGACATTATTATTATTATTATTATTATTATTAATAATAATAATAATATTGGAAATACATAATAAAAGCAACAAAAAAATTGCAGAAGTTCTTTTTAGAACAAATGAGAACCAGTGATTTTACTTTGTTGACTGTTGATGCATATTAAAATAATAAATAAATAAATAAATAAATAAATAAATAAATAAATAAGTAATGATAATTTAATCTAATTAAAGATATGCTGCCTTGCATTACTTGTATTTAGTCTTGGAATGATTCCTAACTGCACTTTTCCCTGTTGCTAAGCTATTATAGTTTCAGCGTTGCTGTGAGTAAACCACTCCAGTTTCATGCCAATGCTGGTCTGTTGCCACAGTTGTTGCTGTTTATTGTGGAAGTGTGAACTGTTGGTGACTGATGTGGTTTGGTGGTTGTGAAGGCTCGTTTAAAATCCATGTAATTTGCAAAAGGCATCTCCTCCTAATGAGAAGCTACAGCAGCAGAATGCCACCCAAGACATCGCTCTGCTCAATAAAAGCCCCACGTGATGGTCTCTGCACTACCGTTTGCTTCCAAGAGATTGTGAAAGCAGTTGTTGTCAAGCAAATTAGAATTCACTGACGCTGATGTAACACTTTGTCTGGAAAGTGTCAAATCTAGCTTTGGAGTTGGGTCATCTAGAAAGAGAAGTGATCTTGATAGATTTGTTTTGAATCATATGATCAACAAATACTGCCTATTGCACAAATATATGCATTAATAGATATATGCCCTGACTGGTTAGTAGGTGCATCTGTTCCACTGCTCATTAATGCTTATAACTAATCATCCAGCAGCAAATCAGTGCATTTAAGGCACATAGACATGGTTAGATGACCTGCTGAAGTTCAAACTGACCATCAGATTGGAATAGAAAGGTAATTTAAGTGACTTTGAAGGCTGCGTTATTGTTCGTGCCAGACAGGCTGGTCTGAATATTTACCACATTGAGGGTTTAAAAAGGTGACAAAATATCCAGTAGCAGCAGTTTGCTGCTTCAAAAATGCCTCGTTGATGCCAGAGATCACAGGAAGATGGCCAGACAGCTCTCAGCTGATGGGAAAGCAACAACGATTCAAATAACCACTTGTTATAACAAAAGTATGCAGAAGAGTATCTCTGAACGACCACACAGGTGTCACTTTTGTCAGCTACGAATGGAAAACTGAAGCTCCAGTTCACACAGGGCTACCAAAACTGGACAAAAGAAGATTGGAGAAATCTTGCCTGGTCTGATGAGTCCAGTACCAACTGAGAAATGTTTAAATGCCAAACCCTACATGATTATTGCTGCCGACATTGTCCATTCCTTTATGACCACAATGTACCAATCTTCTAGTATGTGCACATATCTTAACATTGAGCCAAATCTCTGAGGAATGTTTCCAGCACCTTGTTGAATCTATGCCCTATATCGATCATATATATCATGTAAGAGAAAAGGGGAATTATTTGGGGATATTTGATCTGTGCCTTGGTTTAATATTCTTTGATCTACAAACATTTCCACGAACACATTTTTAGGACCAAAGTCATTTTATTATTGGGAGTTTTGCACAGTGAATTAAACCAGGTAGACTGAGTTGTTGTTCCAGAAAATGTCTTCTGACTAATAGCAGCACAGTCACAGTCAAATAAAAACAGAAACTAAACAAAAGGGTTTTGTTGGACTGAGCATAGGGAGTCAACGCCCAGCATGATTTTGGCCAGACGTTTTCTACAAAGTTCAAATGTAAGAAAGAATCTTGGGTAAAAATAGATGGACAACAACATGGCAACACAAGAATCATACCATTCACTTTAAAGATTGTCATCTTTAGCATTCTCCAATAAGATTCCTATAAGAGTCCTGTTAATTTCAAGTTTCTCTTTGACTGACATCGTGACTTGTTTATTTTTAGTGAGGTTCAACTACGGCACACATTGTCCTTATATTCATGGAAAGGTATGACTGTCTTTATTAAATAAGTGGGTTTATTACCACAAATCACAGAGTAAATAAACAACAGTCAAAATAATAAAGGTTGCATTTAGTTACAAAGTTATTTTAGGTGGAAACTTAATTACAGAATATATTAAACAATCATATTTCATTAAATCAATTATATTAAATTAAACATTTTCACTCAAAATTCCTGTATATATGTATGTATATACAAAATAAAGGATGTGATGAAATGCCACTGTAAGTAACAAGATGCCCCTTAGATTGATTTTTATACAGAAATCCTGTTTAAGCAGAGGATACTGATAAGGCTACTCAGCAAACAGAGTATCTTAAACTATATTACAAACTAGTGTCACAGTCTTCTTAGGTTCTTAGCTCGTGAGTTGATCTTAGTTTACTAGGTGGCACTGTGTCCCAGTAGCTTTCTAATCTGCAGCCCCTGAAATTATACCTAAGCGGCACAGTTAAATCCACTGCAGACAGCATAACAGTTATATTTTATTTGCATTATTCTTCTGTGTCTTTCTCTACAGAGAAGAGCAACAGATGAGTGCTACTTCTTAGAGCGGCTCGAGAGCAACAACTACAACACCTACCGCTCCAGGAAGTACCCAAACATGTACGTGGCGCTGAAGCGGACTGGCCAGTACAAGTCTGGAAGCAAAACTGGACCGGGTCAAAAGGCAATTCTCTTTCTCCCAATGTCTGCTAAATGCTAATCTGGGCTCAGAGTGAGAGATACTGATGTCTGAATGAAAAGATGTGACGGCAATGAAGCAAGCCATCAGCATTGCCCAAAATAGCTGTGAAGCTTTACTGTTAGATCCTAACAGTTATTATTTTATCATAAACATGTCTGCAATTATTCAGCTTCACTTTAAAATTAGCACCATATAGTCATACCTTTTATTATATTATAATAATATTATTACTATTGTTATTAACCAGAATTTTACTGTAGACCAACCAACTGGAGCCAGCTGCCTAGTGCATCTCAGTTAAACAGCAGTACAACACAGTGGGTTTTTTAAAAAAAAAATTAACATAGCTCTCTCTCCATAAGGATTCAAAATAGCTATCTGCTTAACCTTAACCTAATGAAAGTCTAAGTTGGAGTCTGGGTTTAAGTGCAGGGTGTTGGTAATATACTGCATATTTGAGTGTTTTCATAAATAAGAAAACACGTTTAAATCCGACAATAATCTAACTGTATTATAGAAGTCTGAAAAATATAAAATTTGAATTAAAAGAAGAAGAAACACTAAAAGCAAAACCCAAGCATTTCTTCTCCTTTTGAACACGTAGGACTTGGACTGTTAAATAGATAAGTGTTGACTTGGTGAATTGTTGTATTATTGGCTGTTGATTGAGCTTGTTCGGCAAGAAACACAACCTTTAAATCCCAGCACAACATTTTAAAGACATTGCTTTGCCTTGTCATCACCATATTACTGCCTGTGAAAAAGTCATTTAAAATCAGCGGTCCCCAACCTTTTTTGCGCCACGGACCGGTTTATGTCTGACAATATTTTCACAGACCGGCCTTTAAGGCGTCGCGGATGAATACAACAAAATAAAACCAGTACCGGTACCAAAAAAAAAAAATGTATTCATAACACATGGTAAAAGACCCAGAGAAACAGAGTTAATGCTAAAAACAATAAAAAAAAAACAAACTATAAAAACCGATAAAACCCCTGAAAACCATAAATTTCACATCCGAGCCTGAACTCTTGCGGCCCGGTACCCTACGACTCGGGGGTTGGAGACCGCTGATGTAAATGACCAACATGGAGAGGAAAACCTATATTCATTGCTGGCAGTTGTTTGGGTGGTAAAGAATTCATTTTTGACTTACAAAGTTGGCAGTTTTTTCCTCCATATACCCCCTCCCATTTCTGAAATGAAACTGGAACCAAGATAAAATTAGCTAAAGTCACCACTTATCTCTGACAGTGATGTCATTTTTTATCATTGATTAATACATATTACAAGACCGCCAACTTTGGGTTTTGAACATGGCCACCAAGACGTGTTAAATAAAACATTTAAAACTGCAGCAATGCAGATGCAAAAAGCATCCTAAAATTTGCAGTGTGTTTTTAATCCAACCGGTTACACTGTAATTCTTCAAAAGTAACAGTCCAGCTATAAATACATTTTTAATATTTGACTAATGGTGACAACCGTGCTTCACCATATCTGGCTACAATGAGGTGATCTGTGGAGCTCCTATAATTTCAGGATGGGAAACTGTCTGTAATATAACTGGTAAAACCTCCCAGAGTAAACAGCAGGAAGCTCCTCCATGTTGAGGTCAATCTTATCAAAGCCGTGCTCCAGGCCATGAAGCAGAAGACTGGCTAAGCGAGAGGTGATGGGCGTGGTCTTGCTGGTTTTGGCCAGCTCGCTGATGTCCAGCCACTCGCAGCGTAGACACTCCTGAGTGCAGAAGTTGATCTCGTAGGTTAGCGGGCTCAGCCGGCAGATGATGTACATGTCAGACATGCCGAAGGCACCGGGGTGGTTGTGCTGCTGCCGGATACTTAGCAGAGATCTGAACTCGGAGCGAACACCAGTTTCCTCAAACACTTCGCGAACAGCAGTCGTACCTGAGAAAGATTTATTTATCATTTATACATGGAGGCATTTAAAAGACTTTGATCTAGGAATGATGATCCAATTCCACTGTCAATATTACCTTGCAGATGGCGTTAAGAAGGGAAAAAGGAAAATACACATATATTTTTGAACATTTGATGCTGCTTTTCGGGTTGGGTCATGTACATAATTTTAAAGCTGCTTTTTAAAAGAAAAGGTGAATTTGAAGAATTTGCATATATATCATGTGCCTTATTTTGTATAGTTCAAATGAATGTATATGTATCATCTTTAAGTATAATGTTACACTCCAAAGAATTTAGCTACATGTACTGTATTAGTTCTTTTGCTCCGTTGAGCGTGACACTCACCAATATTTTCTCCTGGATCAGACAAACCACCGGGAAACTTCCAAGCATTCTTTGTCTGAAATTCCAGAGCAAAGTTCAAATTTAACTTCAATTGTGATATATGGCACTGCTGTAAATGTATCTTAGATAATTATCAACATGTACACTGCAACAAGGTCTATTTCAGTCTTAGTCTAAAGTCACTTAATAATGCCACATTTTGTTTCCTCTGTTAGAAAATGACCATGGATCAAGCTGTAATAATGAGATGAGAAATGCTCCAGTCTGAGCATCCTTTCATGTTATGTTTTAGGTTTATTTCCTCACTCTGGAGACTTTTACATTTGCTGCGGTGAAGTATGTCTTCCACAACTGTTTCACCACTTACCTTTGATATTTAATGACAGTATGCTGCTGGTTAAATTATGATGTCTGTGTATATATATTTTTGTAGTTACTTAAAGAATGTGCTGCGCTTTTTTTCCCTTGCAGATCCTCTCATTGTGAGGAACACAAATGCACTACGGCATTTATTTTCATGTATTGTAAACCAAATGCTATATTTTTGGAACGGTTTCTAAAGTGTGCTGGTAGAAAGAAATAAAGAGACTTTGTGTAACAATAATTGTTGAGGTTCTTAAAAAGTCGAGCGTCTCTCTCTTCCCCACAGAAGGACACGCAGCTGAATGTAAAATCATTCCAAAGAAGTGCTGTAAGAATGCTGACCGTACGCAATCTGTTCACACTAAATCTATCGAGAAATGCTGCGTAAATGTCATTGCATGATGGTTAAACACTCTTACCATTACCTCATTCAGCTCCCTGATGGATATAATTACCTTGAGCCCACTGGGAATATGTAAGTTGTCCTGCAAGAGTGATAAAGTTTGGTTTCTTTTCAGGAAGTTCATAACCCTTAGCATGCTCTGAACAGACTCGGCCTGTAAGAAACTTTCTACTGCCAAAGGGCCAGACTGTTATAAAGCCCATTTCCAGTAAACAGCTCGATAGGGAGGAGGAAAGAAGGAGGAGGAGCAGGGGAAGAGGAGATAGAGGACTCTCTACACTTCCAGGCCACTAACTGCTCGTCTCTGCTTTGGGACAAAATACATTACATGCTCCCATGACTGTAGACTGGTACACATGTTAGATGTAAGCAAAATCTGTCATTTATAATGCAACATATGGATATGTTAAGATCTGTTTCTTAACTTAAAAGAAATGTTTTAAATATAATATTTGTACCTATACCTCAGTATAATAACTGGGTTAATAAATCTGGATCTTGCATACATAGGTCAAACCTCTTGGATCAGGGCTGCAATAGTTTCTGTTGGGTTTGGCACTGATCACTTCTTTTATTTCTAGCAGACATTTGAGAGATGTTTTTTGCATGTAGAGGTCCAGCCTTTTGCCACTTTGCTTTGACAGTGAACAATGGTACATGTGTTGCAGTTGATGTTTGTGGAACAAACATGCTCATGTGCTGGTTTTGTGGCATGCCAGCACAGGTAATACTGACATTATCTGCAAAGCTGCTGAAAATGTCAAAATATATAGTAGATAGTAGTGAAAAAACAGAAACTCTAATGTCACCTAATTGTTTCTGTATTACTTAATTACTTCACAGAGGACTTCATCAGGAGGAAAACTGATAGCACTTTTTATCTATCTAACATATAATATGATATGTTATCAAATAGAAACAGGCGGCTTTGCATTTTGCAGCCGTTTCCTGCTCATTACAGAGAAACTACTACAGATGTTTCCATTTAATAATCCAGACATTACATATAATATTTACAGTATTGCTTTTAAACAAATTAGAATGCTCGGAACCTAATGTAGGATTAATTTAAGCATTATAATATAGTAATACTATCCAAATATGCCTAAACATCAGTCAATATTACATTTTTACGATGAGATTATTACAGTTTAAACTCTCTATATACATTCTCGTTTCTGCCTTGTTACCCTACTGTTACCACTGAGCTGTAATAAGATGCTACCAGAAAACTCTAAATTGGCAAAAATGTATGCCATCGACTTTTTCCAATGCCATCCAGTGGCCTGAATAGGAGTCTTTGCTGGGCCGCTTTTGGGCCCATGACCTTATATTTGACAATCTTAATGTATGAACCTGTCTCTATTAATTACAAGGAAAATACCACATACTGTAATAAAAGATGTACACAGCCACCATAATGTCAGACTTTGGTTTGAAACCTTAAGTTCAGGAAGTTGGCTGTTGCTGTCCTGCATTTCATTTTGGTTTCTTTTTAACTGACCATGATGGTTACATAGTATGCTCAAGATCAAAACTACCTGACATCAGATTTTCCACTAGTTTAGGCTGCTTATTTGAAAAGGTCTTAACATCTTATAGAGAACATCTTATGAGAGTAACAGTTCCCAAATGACATCAACATTACACAATCACTTTTCAAAATTGCCAGCAATCTTGTTTGGGCTGACCGAAAATGCAAACAAAGCTGTGTCGAAGAGGATTCAAAAGAGGCCTGTTGTAAGTTAACTTCAAAACACCATGAGCACTACAGCAGGGCTCTGTGAGAGCTTACAGACGCACACAGAACTGTTTGAGTGCATTCAACTCATGTAAACATCATGTTTGCTTGAGGTCAGCTAATTTTGTGTTGAGCTATGTTAAGTGTGAATGGATTTCCAGCCAAGGTTTGAGTCAACAGAGGCCCAAGTTACTAAATAAACAAATACTAATCATCCACATTTTAACAGCAGCATGACTGATCCATCAGTGGTTCATTTGTGTGACTGATATTGGACAGATCAGCTTTTAGGAGGATATAAGATGTGTAGATATAAGGTGTATAGCGCATTTAAATAATAAAGTCAAACAGATACCTTATTTCTGTCTTGGACAACAAGGACCTTTCCACTGGACTCATCAACAACTGCACCTGGACAAAACAATCAGTCAGACATTAATTTTATATATTATTCAAGTACCTGTGTCCCTATATGCTGGTTCACATTTTGCATATAAATCGTAATAATTTTAAGCAAAATGTGGTGGTAGACTGGCACAAAACCAATCATTTGGTTGGACACATAACACATGCATCATGTGGTGAAGAAGGCCACTGTCAGGCTTCAGAAGATGACGGCTGATTTGTTCGTTTTCTGTTTTGCTTCAAATCTCTGACCTACAAATACATCAAGATGGTAACAGTCTGGGCTGCTGAGCTGGACAAGCTTGAAGATTTGAGTAATTTGGTGAACTAAAACTGTAATGACTTGAGGTGGTTGGCACTGTTGGCTCAAAGCAAGGAGGTTCTGGGATTAAATCCAGTCCAGGGCCTTTCTGTGTGTTTGCATGTTCTGCCATGTGTTCCTTCAGTGTACTCCAACATGCCACAGTTCAAAGACATGCGTGGTGCTACATTAATTGGTGACTCTTAACACTGACTGTATGCGATCTGCTTGTCTGTCACTATGTGTTAGCCCTGTGATAGATTGGCAACTTGTCTACAGTGTACCCTGCCGCTCCACCTGTAACATCTACAGTAGGCTTGAGGTGCTCCTGTAAACTTGAATTGAATAAGTGGAAGAAAATGGATGGATGGAAAACTGTAAAGGTAATTATCCTAAAGGAATTTACAGTATGCACTAACATTATTGAGGTCCCACACTGCAAACATCTAAATCAGTCTATAGCCACAGATCAGGACCCACAGTTATACTGAATTACATCCAGTAATGTAGTGACAAGATAAAGAAACCTATCACAAGCTTTGCTGCAGAGAACAATTGTTCGGGGCAAGACAGTAATAACATGCTAGTCATCTCTTGTGTCTAGTTTAGCAGCAATTTAAAAAACAATAAAAAAGAATAATAAAACTGTAACATATTCCATTTACAGTATAAAAAATTTAAATTGTGTTTGACAAAAAAATGCAATAGCATTATTTTTGATATATTTACGTTGTATTTACGTCATTAGCTATAAAAGATCAATATAACGTCGCCCAAAAAGTGGTTACTTTGCAACTTTAGAGCTTTAGAGTTGTCACAATGTAACCAGTTGGTAATTTTATTAAATTACCAAATTATGATGTAATTTTTTGAATGGTTAGTCTACAGTATAGCTGCTGGTTTAGTGGCCAGTTAAAGAAAAACAAAAACAAAACAACCAACAACTCTGAATAACACTTTTTTTTTCAAAAAATTATGACAGTACCACATTAAGACAATAACAAAGTCAGCTTACTATCACCTCAAGAATATTTCAAGGATAAAAGATCTGATGTCCCAACAGGACCTGGAAAAACTAGTCCATGCATTCATCTTTAGTAGGCTTGATTACTGTAACAGCATCTTTACAGGTCTACCTAAAAAAATCAGTCAGACAACTACAGCTCATTCAGAGCTCTGCTGCTTGAGTCCTCACTGTGACCAAAAAAGTGGACCACATCAGTCCAGCTCTGAGGTCTTTACACTGGCTGCCTGTCCGTCAGAGGATAAACTTTAAAGTTCTGATGCTGGCCTATAAAGCTCTGAATGGTTTAGGACCAAAATACATCAATGACCTCCTGACCCAGTATGAACCTTCCAGATCCCTCAGGTCATCTGGATCCGGTCTTTTATCAGTTCCCAGAGTCAGAACCAGACACGGAGAAGCTGCATTCAGCTTTTATGCTCCTTATATCTGGAACAAACTCCCAGAAAGCCTCAGATCAGCTGAAACACTCAGTTTATTTAAATCCAGGTTGAAGACTCACCTATTCTCAGCTGCATTTGAATAAAGCACCAAATCCACACTTTTAAGCTTAAATTTCAAAACTTACATTTAACTACTGATTTTATCTGTTTTGATTTTATATACTGTTTTGTTTGTTTGTTAATTAGTTTGTTTGTTTGCTTGTTTTAATCAATTTTAAATCATGCTTTTTATTTGTTTTTGTTTCTAATGTCTCTGTAAAGCACTTTGAATCACCTTGTTGTTGAATTGTGCTATACAAATAAACTTGCCTTGCCTTGCCTTACCAAATACAGCAAATTTACAGGGCAGAAAGCCTTATGAGGAACACCTGTCAGACACAAGAATTGATGCGATCTATTGATAATGTATAAAATCTTGACATCAGCTGATTACTCATCGGCACTAAATTTAAAGTAATACTAGCCATACATATAGAATATCTCCTGAAAACAACAAATTTTAATGAACTGCAAATCTTCTAAATGAACAAGACCAAGACTCAGACAATTTCCAAAAACAGAAGGTTAACTAAAAATTGTTTCTGTGGAACAGCAAATTGTTTTACTTTCTACAGTTACAAAGTCTGAGTGACTCAGCTGAGAAATTTGTGGACATCCGACTTCAATATTTACAGTTTTTCTCTGATGTTTCTCAGCAGCTAGTGACTAAGCAAGGCAGTTATGCGCTGCTGACAGTTGAGGAGGAGGAGGAAAAATGAGCCACTTTCTTTTCCGGTTGCTCTGTCTGACTGACCAAGACAAGCCTCCTCAAATGAATGTCACAGATGCGTAAAGAGGGATGTGTCTCGCTAAAGGCTTGACTTGGACTTCCAAGTGGAAATTGATGTCATCCCCAGTCCCTGTGCCATATGGCGCAGGAGGAGGCCTGGTTTCTGCTAAAGGAGGCTATCATTATTTAGCCCTCAGTCCAAGAAATAAAATGGTCATGAGGAGCGGGGAGCAAGAATTACAGTACGAGACAAAAAAAACCTGTGGATTCAATAGAAAAAACTGTTAATCACTTAATTGTATAGTTAAACTTTGAGCCACTTACTTCATATTTCACACATTTTTGTCTACTGTCTACTACTCTTTGGTATCGCAAACAATTACAGGTTCATGCTCTTATCTTTACATTATGAGGTCATTATGAATCTGAGCTTCAAGCCCACTAAGTTTTAAATATAAAACAGTTGGCAAGCGTCTTCAAACTGTATCCTGGAACCAAGGAGGAAAAAGCAGGAGAAATAACTAAGAAGAAGAGGAAGACGGAAAGAGTAACAAGACAATCACCCAGCATTGTTGTTTACTTATGATTACCTCTTCTACAGATAAAACTTGGCATCAATGTTAATGTAAAATAATGCTTGATTCAGGTTGGTGCCGCTGTAGCGATTGGTTAGGGAGAATCAAATTCCCTTCCCAATGGAAATTTAAAAAATACTTACAAATATGAAATAAAAACATATATTGAAGAGTGGCAGTTAATTTGAGCCCTATATGTGTTTTTCTACTGCATCACAGAGACATGGAAATTAGTTTACCTGGACCACTGAAAAAAAGGCTCTGCTAAGTGTGCTGAACAAAGTGAATTTCCTAGCTTAAATAAAAAGGAACTGAAACCTCTGCCTCTTAGAGGAGACACTAAAGTGTCCCTGCCCACCTTTGTAGTTATCTTAGAGATTTAATCAAAGACTCTGCAATGTGAAAAACAGTTGTGTTTTTCCCAGTAACTTTCACTCTTTTGTTTTTTGTTAGGAGTCAAATTAGGCCATTATGACTTTCAAATAACTTCTGACATTAATTGACAGTGTTATTAGTGAGTACTGTTTTGGGGTACTGGCCAAAACTACGATAAGAACCAGTTGTGAAAAATAACCTTTTTACACAAATCTGAGTCTGGCAGGACATCAGGCGTATGGATGACAGAGGATTTAATGGATGACTGCTTTCCAATCACGAGTTATACTTTTGGCCCTATTGCTGTATCTTTGTGAAAATAATCAAGAGCCACAGTCAGCACACACATAAGGAAACTGGAATCTAAACAGCTGTGTATTTCAGATTCCTGAACCCAGTTTCATCATCAAACAAATCTGGCATCTAAAAAAGGGAGTTTCTGGTCCCCATTCCTCAGAAAGATGCTCTGGACATGTTCTGACATGCTTTAAGTGCATCTACTCTTTGGTAAAGGTATGAATGGCACTCTGCCCTCTGCTGGACAATCACAAAGTTAGCACTTGGGCTGAGCAACTCCTTTTCCTGTTGATCGTCTCTTCACTGTCAGTCCTGAGTGAATTTCCATTTGCGTAAGTGAAATGAGCCAGAGTTAAAAAATGCGAATCCCAAATGACAAACAAGCTTTTATCCATTTAAAGATGATAACAAGCTACTGGTGTTTTGTGTTAGCACCAAATGTAGGTCACAGTTTACTCCAGCTTTAGCTATTTAAAAGTGATTTAAAAGTGACAGCAGAATACAGTTTGATTTTTCAACACTTTTACATCTTTTGTCACATCTGACAGATTCTGTCACACAACCACTCGCAACACGCAAGGCACTCATCATATTAGGAAACAAATGCGGAGGGCAGTTGTCATCGCTGATGGGTTTACATAGACTTTGTGTCCATAACAATTGTCATTTGGTCTAATGTGCTGAAGCAGTTTGTGCTCGGCTCAAGATTCTCTCTTTCACAGCACAAACTCTTTCCACTGAGAGGTTGGTGTAAAAACTACCAGGAGGCGACAAGATATGATCAAATAGTTCAGCAGCTTTACTCAGAAAACCTAAAAAATTTTATTTATTTAAATGTGTACACTTCTGGATTGGTTCCAGCTCTACGGCTATTTTGTTTAATGACCCTCGCAAGTATCATCCAGATCACTTGTTCTTGGACATCTGCCACGGACCTCAGACTTGTACAGAGAGAATCAAGAGGATACCTGCAGGTTTTTCAGCATTTACAGGGTTATGGTTATGCATTCTGAATTCATTCCACAGGGTCAGATTGTCCCGATGGAGTTCTGCCTGAAGGAGAACATTTGACAGAAATAACCAGAACTTTGCTGAATTTCATTGTGCAATCCAGCACCGGCATATAACAATGAAAACAAGGGGTTTTTTTTGGCAACAAACACCTGTTCTACTTGCCCAGTTTGACTCACTGCAACTTGTCCTTTTCCCTAAAAGGCAATTC